CGGCGACTCACGGCAGCCCAGCTCCAGGTTGAGCTGTTGTTCAGCATCTTAGCTGTAGAGGGCAGTGTCACTGGCCCTCATATGTGGGATCCGAACTGGCGCCCTCTGGCGTCCCAAGCGAGCTCTTAACCATCGCGCCACTCGGCCGGCCCTGGATTACTCATTTCTTAGTGTATCTCTGCTTCAATAGTCAGAGACTTATTAGGGAAATATTGGGGAAGTGGCAGTAAAGAGAAAACCAAAATGTAGAGTGGGAGCAATAAGGAAGGGAATGTGTATTGCTGAGCCGGGAAGAGAGGGCCTGAGAAAGTCTGGGTGGGAGTCAGTATGGAGGAGAATTTGAAAACAGGCAGTGGGAGTTAGGTTGAGTCACAGATAAGGGTATTATAGGTATTTAAGACGAAAAGCTTGAATGAGCAGAACCAGAGTAATGGGGGTGGATAAAACTGATGATGGAAAACAGGAGGCTGTAGCTGAGTAAAAAGAACAAGAGAATAGGTGAAAACCAGAGGTCAAGACCAGGTCACTGTTAGAAAAATTATCAGGAGAGCAGCAGCAGACACAGGCTCAACAGATAAGAGAGCTTTAAACCAAGGCACAATCTATTCAGCAGGAAATCTCCTCTTCTCTTGCTAAAGCAGGAAACAGATGATGTAATTTATAGAGCAAGTATTCCCAAGGCCTTGAGGGTTAAGATCAATGCCATCCTCAACAAATCCCTATTGAACAGATCCCAAGAGTGGAAGAGGGGTGGGTGGGACAGAGGGACCGCAACCTTCTCAAATTAAGTCAGTCATTTTTAAGGCATGTATTGACTTTGTAGTTATACTTCCAAAGAAAAATTTGTCATGGATGGCTTGACATTATGAGATGGAGTCTGACAATGGGAGAAAAATGTTTGCTATAAGGACTATCTCAGAATATCCAGGCCAAACAGTTGCTGCAATTAGTCTGGATTGGAAATAAGAACGGGAAGAGTGATTTTACATAGCATAACAAAAATCAGATAAATACAAGCCTTGGTCTCCCACAAAAGATATTACTATGATTCGTGGCTCCAACAGTAACATAAAATAACAACATATCTTATATTAAAGGAAGACTGAAGTGCTTGGATAGGATATCATGGCAATAAAAAAACAAAGACTTTATTAGTCTAGTAATACGTCATATATTATTTTATAGAAAATATCCATCACTTGAGTACTCAGTGGATCATGGAATAGTAAAATTGTAAGATTCCACAATGGAAAGAACTTGGAAAAGTAATTATGAAGTCATTTTTGACCTCTGAAAAAGTAGATTAATCTGAGGCAAAGTAATACAATATATCTTAACTCTGCAGGAGACCCAAAGTAGCTCATGAGCCCCTATTAAATAGGAACACTCTATTTACAGCTCCTTTCAAATCAGTAAAGCAAGAGCTTTCCCTGGGGGTGGGATAGGGTTGGCTGTTGATCTACAGTCAGTAATATGCTGAGGTTTTCCACAAATATAAATATAAATGTATTTTCACAAATATAAATACATGTGAACAACCGATTGTGCTTCAGGGAAGTTTTCTTAGATATGTCTGGGGTCACAGAGCAGTAAGAAAATTTAGAAAGATGTGTTATCAGAAACAAGATGTGGGAGTGTCCCATTTTCTTCTTTGTGATTACTTAATTATTTGGGAATAACTTTTAAAAATCCTAGTTCTAAAAATTTCCATTCAAACCAAGTCAATAAATATACTTAAAAACCCATCTGGTAAATTGGATAACTAGCACATATTTCCCTTCTAAAACATGTACTTAAATATATACTTACGTAGATTTTTTTTTTTAAATTAGTTTCAGGTATATAGTTACACATTTAAGAAATCTGAAAACAGCTTTCAAAGCAGAGTATTCCTCTGGATCTATGAAAGTAGTAGGCTAGTGAATTTAGCAAAATTTCTTGGTTTAACAGGCAGAAGGCCTGCTAGTACTTGCAGGTTACTGGAAAACCCCTTGAAGTTTCTTTCACCCAAATATGGGAGCACTTTTTTTTTTTTTTTTGAGGGAGCCAACAGAGATATCTCACATCTACCAAGACAACCTCCTCAGGACAGCATATGAGCAGGGGGGTTTCTATAGCAATCTCTAATGCAGTGCTTTTCAAGGGGAGGTGCAAAGGATACCTGTTCTGAACCACCCTACACTGTAGTTAAAAATGTGAATTCCTGGGCCTCATTCTCAGGTAATGAAATAGCATTGTTGGTAAGGGACCCTGAGAATCCGAAATGCAATGCACTCTACATCTGAGAGCTCCTGTTGGGGGCTCTTTTGCTCCCTCTTTTGCCAAATACGAAGACATTGTATTGCTTACCTTGACCATCAAGG